ACATATGAATTAGGAAGAAAGTTTTCTTTAAATTCCTGGTTATGTAGTGGTAGCGCACGTAAATGATGCTCAATATGAATGCGCTGTTAGGGTTTCCTGGACTCTTCAAGCTAAGGCAATGAGGAGATGCAAATGGCAATTTGTAATTTGCCGTGTTTGGTGCTCTTGAGTAGGAAATTACAGCCTGACATCTTGAATTCTTCTCCAGTGAAAAAAGGAGAAAACCCCCAAATCCGAGATTTTACGGAGGAATGACGAAACCTCCTGAAGTCCCCAATTTAATTTCTTTCCTTCCCTGTCTGTTGTAAATGTAATAAACAATCTATTTTTAGATTATGTGTGAGTCTGCTTCGTATCTTGTCATGTGAGGAGCAAGCGCGAGAACAAATTCGGATTTACGATGGGGTACCCATACTCGTAGGGTAAGCGCTGCTTAAAATTGGGGTACTTCAAATATACCACGCATTGAATGGAAATTCCTAAGGTTGCTATCAGTAAGAAATTCTCGACTACAATGGCATGTTGCTTGGTCGTTGGCACAACTTGCGGAAGATGTGGAGACATCTGTAGAGGTGCAGCTTAAAGATTATATCTTCTTCAATAATATCATAATAGTAATTTTTTCAACGGCGAGCTTTTGAAATTAGCATTTTTCCTTACTGCCGATGTGAAATTGCTTGTTCTCAATAAAGTACATGGAGAGCAATAATTTGCTGAAACTCTTAGACTTCATTTTTTGAAAAAAACCTCAAGTGGAAAAAAGACATTATATCGAAGTGGGAAACATCGTCTTGCATTTGTCTTATTAGTAGGAAGATTGCCTATTTAAAAATAGCGTACCATTGCAGATTGTTCAACTCGGTGGAATTTCACTTGTATTAGCCGAATTTGCAACCTTGAAACCGCCCGCAAAGGCACTGAACGACTGGATTGCAATGCTAACTGGTGCGTTCTTCGCGCAAAATAATTAACATACTACTCGAAATTAAATGAAATTTGGGAATTTGAAGATTTTGTCTCTTAAACTTTATTACTTTTGAAACCTGCTTTATATTCTATTTAGATTCACTGATAAACAACTAAAAATGCAACTATTTTTTGATATCCTTATTGTTTCGTCACAGCTTTTCACATATTAAGGTCTTTGCGCGCTGCTGGCCCAGCTCTGCCAATGTGATTCGAATCAGCGTCAACTTGTCTCCAACAATGGGGTGTACCTTCTCGGGCGTGCCCTTCTGCAAGGCACTGAAGATGAACGATTACAAGACAATCAAAGTTGGAGGACTACGCAGGTCGGAGCTTCAGAAAATGTCTTTTTGCTTTTTATACACTGTGTTTACATTTTCTGCGTATTCGTGTCACTGCACTATACTCAACAAGTGCGGAAATTTAATTAGACCATGTCAGGGGTAATATCAGACCAAATATGCAGCTTATGAATTTGAT